AAGGATACTCTAGTAAGGAGAATTTTCTTAGCTAAATATGTCAAAATGGATGACTTTGACAACGATGTGATTTTGAATAGAGAGAGGATTGAAGACTCCAAAGCCGAGACCGTCTTAAACGTGTTAGGAATGAAAAAATGGAAATGAAATTATAAGAATTTTGTAGAAACAATATTTTTAATAAAATAACATATATATTTTGTGGAAAAACAATGTTCCTCTGATAGCAACACGTAAATGATAAAAATAATCTACAAAGTAATAAAAAAAAAAAAAAAAATCAAAAAGTGAGTCCCCCATCCGTTGTAGAAACGTGCACTATTAATTTAATAAGAATTTTAAAACCCTTGCATATGTGCCGAAACAAAAACGCACGAAATCAGAATAAATATAAACGTCAGAAAATGTTTGGCAACGGGTTAAAATAACAAAAGTTTCAAGTCTAATCCTTCCTTTTCGAATGAATTTGGATTGACAACGACTTGAACTACAAACAAATACATCCTGTCGTAGTGCTTGAACCAAAGTATTTCATTTTATAATTTCATCATTAAGGCCTTCAATGGTCTATTAAAGAAATGTTCACTCATAAAAGCATAAAATTGATACTAAATCTCAATCTTTCTGTTAGCTAATGCGCGAACAGAATTGGCTACGGTTTAAATAACAAAATCATAGCTATTTAAATGTTCGATGATTGTCATATTGAAAGCTAATTCATCCGGAGGGGATTGCCAAAATTTTTCAAATGACTCCCAAATTCTCAAAATGAACCATTGGTATTCAAATTTCTCATAAAAAAAAATATAATAAAAGCAAAATTTTAAAATTAAATCAATCTCCAAGTTAAAGTAATAATCATCCATCACTGCAAATGGCTTATTAAGGATGAATCAAATTTATTATTAACATCATTCACAAAAAGACGCAAATTATCTACAATGAATGTTATCACTATGATTTTATTCTCAAATGATTTCTCGCTCAACAGAGGACATTATGAATTGCCAACTGATCGTGGTGCTTTTGCCTGCAAAATACCACAACTAACTCAACATTTAATGATCAAATGCTCGCATATTCCTCAACTGGTTTAAAAGTCCCGTGAATAATGAATCACATTGTGCAAGTTAATAAGACATAAAGCTTTCTATAGCTAATGTTTGACTAAAAGATTTATTCTCTTAAAACTAATATATCTATCTACTAAAGTCTACAAGGTACCTTTTAGATGAAAGCAAACCAATGGTTCTGATAAGGATCCTTGGTCAGGTTAGGTCGACTACCTCCTCTGACTAAGAGGACTAGGACCATGACGGCCTTCGTATGATTCTGGAACCAGGGACTTGATTGGGTTTGTTATATCATCCACCATCTCGCTTAATAGTAATAAAATTAAATATTATATATCCTAAGAAACTTGCATACTATTATCAATATAAACTAGGTATTTCTATACATATTTCATGGACTAGCCTTAGCTGAAAGTGGATCTTCTCGTCATCGGGAGGTATATTAATTTAACTTCAAGGTGTATGCACTTTCATGAGAACCTAAAAACATGTATTATAAAGTCTCTCATAGAAAATGAGGGCGAAATCTCTGTGTAGTGTTGTATTTCCCAAATTCAATTTGTCATCTGAAATTTGAAACCCTAAACATCATTAAACACTCTTCCTGAAAGAAGGGGAGGCTAAGACGTTAGTTTCGGAGCCCACAAACTTTTGATATCCACCACATCTAAATTATAAAACATACTTTGAATATTTCAAATAGTTTATGCCAAACAATTTATTCAAGTGAACCTCCAAATCACCATTACTAAAACAAAGAGCAAATCTACCTATCGAAATTTGATATAAAATTAAAGAAAAAGAATACTAGTAATGGTCCCTATAATGTGGCGGACGCACTCATCAACATTCGTGAAAGCAACCCCCTATCTTTCTATGATCATTTAATCATACATCTCTATATGGTCTCTAACCTTGCTGTCCTGGTGGAGGTAAGCGAGAATAATAGGCAAAATTTTAAGGAAGCATTTAATGCCCCCTTTTCGTAATAAGAGCATCAAGCCCCCT